CGCGTGGAGGTGGAGTTGCCACTTCGCTCAATAGGGCTTCCCTCGTCGCCCTTATCTCTTACTTGATTCTTTTTGTCAGTTAAGAAAATATTTGGCCGAAACTTACAATGGGAGAGAGCCAATGCGAATGCGGACGTTAGTTTAAAAAATCACAACGGAACATCTTGCAGCAGCGAATGCGGAAGGACCGGTCTCCAGTGCTTATCATCAATTACTTTGTCGTTTTTTGATAAGGAACTCGCCGACTGTTTTCTTACTTGGTTGTTTAGATGTGGAAAAAATGTGTTTCAGCTCATACAACTATTTTTAGAAGACACGTAATCAATTAAATTTCGAAAAATTCTTTATAACCGTTGTATGCTTACTGTTTTTACATATTCCACTTAAATTATGATTTCTCAGGACACGAGGACTGTGACCAGGCAACACAATCGGCAAACGAGAAGACTCCAAACAGTCGCTTGTGATCAAAACAACCGAAATAAAATATGAACTTTAAAACTCTCAGTCCCATCTTTTCCCCAAACATGGGACTCTGGGTTTTGGGAGAGTGACGTCACAGATTACTGATTTACCAGCAGGGAAGCCGAAGCCAGGTGGAAAGGATGCGGTGAAACTACCCTATACAGTCTGCACACGGCGCTGTGGGAATCGCATCCAAAACATGTATATAATCGAGCGACTTTCTCTCTCTCTCTCTCTCTCTCCCTCCTTCTAGCTCTTCCTCTCACTCACTCTCTTTCTCACTCTTCTCTCTCTCTCTCTCTAACTCTCTCCCTCCCTCTCGCTCTTCTCTCTCTCTCTCTCTCTCTCTCTCTCTCTCTCTCTCTCTCTCTCTCTCTCTCTCTCTCTCTCTCTCTCTCCTCTCTCTCATTTACTTACTCTCGCCAATATGAATAAACAGCATTAAATTGGCTAAACGTTCAACAAAAATGTATATGCCATGTGCATACTCATTCATAAATTCATATAGGGTGACTATCCTCGTTGGTTGAAGCCTCTACACGGGATTGGTAACAAAACAAGCATTCAAACCAAACATGTCAACTCTCTGGGCATCAAGAGGTCATACACGGAAACGGGGTCAAGGTCATACACGGACAACAGGGGTCAAGGGTCAACGGGAACGGTCAAGGTCATCAGGGAACGGGGTCAAGGTCATACACGGGAACGGGGTCAAGGTCATACACGAAACGGGGTCAAGGTCCATACACGGAACGGGTCAAGGTCATACACGGAAACGGGTCAAGGTCATACACGGAAACGGGTCAAGGTCATACACGGAAACGGGGTCAGGTCATACACGGGAACGGCGGTCAAGGTCATACACGGAAACGGGGTCAAGGTCATAACGGAAACTCGGGGTCAAGTCTAAACGAAACGGGATGGGCAAAGGTCATACACGGGAACGGGGTCAAGGTCATCACGGAAACGGGTTCACATGCGGAACGGGGTCAAGGTCATATACACGGAACGGGTCAAGTTATACACGGAACGGTCTGTGAAGGTCTATGCAACGGGAACGGGTCAAGGTCATACACGGAACGGGGTCCACTGGTCAACCAATCGAAGGTCAACCTCGAAGGAACGGGATCAAGGTCATGCCACAAGTTTATCGGGGTCAATAACGGTTTTTCATACGTCGAAGTCATACACGGAAACGGGTCAAGGTCATACAAGGGGAAACGGGGTCAAGTCTGCACGGAACGGGGTCATAGGTCATACACGGAAACGGGGACGGCATCGGGGTCAAGGTCAATAGGTCAAGTTCTTAAACGGAAACGGGGTCAAGGTCATCCACGGGGACGGAGCCAAAGGTATACTCGCGGGGTCAAGGTCAAACCATGTACCTCTATTTCTAATGATGAGGCCAAACCATTTTATCTTATTTTATCATTTTTCTACGAGTGAAATAGATATTATTTCTACTTATCTTGTGTTACTGTGCGCTGTCAATGCCTATTATGTACAAAGAAGAACCATTGTAAATAATGGAATAAGTTATTTCACCTTGACTCTCTCTCTCTCTCTCTCTCTCTCTCTCTCTCTCTCTCTCTCTCTCTTCTCTCTCTCTCTCTCTCTCTCTCTCTCTCTCTCTCTCTCTCTCTCTCTCTCTCTCTCTCTCTCTAGTTAGTTATAGTTTTTTTTTCCTCTACATATCTATTCTCTGCATATTTTCACTTTCCCCTTTCCTGCATTCATTAGTCGCCTGTGAAAGTGAACATATAGCAACGATAGAATTGCCCAAATATATCAAGTATTAACATGGAAGATATTTCACCTCCGAAAATTCTCCACTCCCTCAATCTTCGCGGTAAATCCACACGGAAGGACATAGTAAAAGGATTGAAGTTAATCCAAATCCACCGTACTTGCACAGAAGATGTAAGACACGCTCTCTCTCTCTCCCTCTCTCTCTCTCACTCTCTCTTCTCCTCTCTCTCTCTCCTCTCCTTCACCCTCTCTCTTTCTCCCTCTCTCCTCTCTCACTCTCACCCTCCTTCCCACTCTTTCTCCCTCTCTCTCTCTCTCACTCTCACCCTCCTTCCCACTCTTTCTCTCTCACTCTCACCCTCCTTCCCACTCTTTCTCCCCTCTCTCTCTCTCTCACTCTCACCCTCCTTCCCACTCTTTCTCCCCCTCTCTCTCTCTCTCACTCTCACCCTC